CGGCCCGCGCTGAGCAGCCCGCGGAGCAGCGCCTCGCCGCCGCGGGGAGCTCGCCCGGCCTGCCCTGAGCCGCGCCGCCGCCGCCGAGGTGAGTGAGCAGCCGAGCCCAGCCGAGCCGAGCGCTCCGCGGCCGCGCCGGCAGCGCCCCATTGTTCCGCCGCGGGAGGGACGCGGCACCGCGGCTGTCAGCGGCGCCGGGGCGGGACGGGACCCGCGGGCCGAGCCACGCTGCGGGAACGGCGGAGCGCCGGGCGGCGACGAGCCGCGCCGCCCCGACGAGCCGCGCTGCCGCGGTGCCGCTGCGGTGGAAGTTGCCTCTGAAGGGCCCGGCGGGCTGCAGCAGGTGGTGGTCCCGCACCGCGCCGTCCCCTCCCGGCGCTCAGCCCCGTTCCCGCCCGGCCGTGCGCGTAGCTTTGCTGTCAGCGCGCTCTGGGCACGTCCTGGGCATCGCTCGCGCTCTGCGTGGCCCTTCCGACTTCGCTTTCACGTTTCAGAGACTGCTTTCCTCGCGTCCTTGCCGTCCGTCGCGTTGTTGCTGGTAACTGCACGAGCAGCAGGCGGCCTGAGCCGGGCTTCAGGTGTGAAGAACTTCTTATTCGCGATTCGCCCGATTTTCCCTAGGCTGCTCCAAATCTCCGGCGTTGTTAAAGCCCCGGGGAGGACAGAAATGGGGATTCCTGCGTTTGGTGTCATTGCGTTTCACGTGGGGTTGAAAGAAGCGCTCCCGGAAGGCTGAGCCCGCAGGAGGTGTCAGGGCAGAGCTCTGCCCTCTCTTTGGCCGTGCTGCTGCTCTTTCCTGAGAAAGAACGAATCGATGCAACAAAACCTTGGCTGTGCCATGTTAGGGACATGTCTTCAGCAGGTGGTGAACTTGTCCCGGCCCTGTGCTGCTAGCAACCACTTGCTGGAGTAGAAATGTGAGAAGGATGCATATCTGAACACATAAGTAATGCTGCATGACGGGGCATGCTGTTGTGTTGTTGTGTGCAACGTCTGCGAGCCTCGGGGGCAGCGCTGTCAGAGCACAGGGCTGTGCTGTCACCTGGCTGCGTCCTGCACGAGGAGGAGGGCTGCTGCCCACCCGGGGCACGGGGTGACGGCTGCACACCTTTGGGACTCGGCTCTGCTCCCCATCCGAGCGCAGCTCTGTGGCTCCTCCCGCCCGCCAGCTCCCTGCTGAGAGGTGCACGCGCTGCTCTGCTGCTTTCGCACAGAAAACTGAGTCACAGAGGAAGTGATTTGCACAAGGTCGTGTTGTGAGGAGTGTCGGCGCTGAGCAGCGTGGCTGTGCCTGTGATAAGGCCGGCTGTGGCACACATGGGTGTGTAACACGCCCGGGGTGGTACTAACACAAAGATCACCCACATCCACATTGCTCTGCGGTTCTCTTTCTCCACAATTTCTTTTTTTGCAGACTCCTCACGCCCTAAATGCTGTAGAGCCTTTTTGTTGTTGTTGCTGTGTTGTTTTGACGTGTATTTTGTCGTTGCAGCTGTGCAAACAGCGTGATCAGTGCTTCCCTGCCACCCTGAGCCCTGCCTTTGATACCCGCTGGCTGCTGTAGTGCTGCTGTGCAACGGGACAGTGTGCAGTGCTGCAGTGCAGCTGGACATGTGAGCTGCTGCTCCATAGGAGCTGCCTCTGGAATTAAACCACTGCACAGCTCTGGTAGAACTCAGGTCCATAGAGCTGTGCACCTTGCCGGTGTGTGATTGGAACCTGCGTGATCCACATGCAGCTTGGCTCTTCAGCACAGCTAGAAGGAAATCTTGCTGGTTTGGAAGGAGAAGACTTTGGTTTTCCCTCTCTTTGCTGTTCCATCCTGCTGAGATGCTTTGGGTGCTCTCCATCCCCACAGTACTTGCTTTAGGAGGAGGTGCAGAAAGGAACACCTGGGTGCACCAGCTGCAGCCCTACAGGTGGCTCCTGGCTGTTGTTGTAGTGCTCTTCGTGGCTTAACCTTGTCTGTTCACTTTAACAGAAAATGTGGTGCTTTAGATATGTGGATGTATGGGTGGACAGAGATACTACAGAGATGTGATGTACAGATAGAAGGGTGCTTTGGCAGTTCAAGCTGCAGGAAGATTGCTAGCATGAATCAAGCCCTAATATAGGTCCGACCTCAGCTCTGCCGGGCTCTGTTTCATTCCTCCCAGCATGAAGTTGTCTGACAAACAGGCACTCTGTGGATCTCACGCATGGTTCATTGTTTTTAGGGGGTGCTGGAGCTTTGCTGCTGGCTTGATGTGGTTTGTTGGGTCTCCATGAGATTACAGCTGCCCCAGGAGGTTTGTGTGGTGATGAAGAGAGGGCAAAATGCACGCCTTGGAGCAGAGAAGCTGGGAAGCATTGCAGCTCCTTCGCTTCTCAGTTCTATGTTTCCATCGGTTCTGAGATTGGGGTGAGGGAGTAGGATGACAGAAAAAGCATTCCCAGGTTTTTCCTGGCTTGTGAACTTGTGTACACGCTGAAGCTGCACACGCTGGCTCTGCCTGTACAGGGGACCACGATGCTCTCTGCCCTTCCAGCATCCGATTTCCTGAGGAGAACAGTCAGCCCTGCACTTTACCTTTCAAGTTGTGAGTCTGTTTTTCCAGCGTTCTGCTGGAAGATTGAACAACAGCTGCTCTCCGCATGCTCTGCAAACTTCCATCCTTCAGGTCCGTAGTGCAGAAGCTGCAGACTTCACCTTTCAGTGTGTGACCTGTTCTGCTCCAGCCAAGGGGTAGGATTGCTCTGTCCCCATCTGCTCGGTCTCTGTTACCTCCAGGAATCCTGGAGCTGCTGGGCTGTGGGCTTTGCTCCCTCTGAGAGCAGGAGTTAGGTTGGTTGAGTTGTCTTTTCTTTCCAGTTTGGCACACGAGACCTTGAATCCCAGCTAAGGAATGGTGGGAGCAAGATATCCTCAGCATGGCTGTAAGGCTGCGCGCTGTTCCCAGAGGTGGGGCGGCACCCTGTTTGGTGAGGAGCTGTGCCGGAGCCAAGACCTGGGCCAGGAGCCAGGTTTGTGCTCCGTGCCAGAGAGGGAGAGACTTGGAAAGGGAAGCAGAGCTCCTCCTGTGCGAGAGATGGCCTGAAATACCGAGAGAAACCACAGAGTGCTCCTTGTTCCTGCTGTGCCTACTGGTCTTCCCTCTGCCCCAGTGCGTGGGACGCGATCTGCCAGGAGCAGGAGGGCTGCGCCGTGCCAGGATATGGTTTGTGTGAGAGATGCTTCACCACGTTGGCTGTTTACAGACTGCGAGCCCCTTGAAACGTAAGCACAGGAAATGCCAGGCTGCGGTGGGGCGGTGTGCGGCTCTGCGCTCTGTGCTGCTCGGCCTCCGGTGTAGCAGAGTTTTGCACCATCACAGGCTGGAGGAGCTGCAGAAGGGACTTGGTTATTTTACCTCCGAGTGAGGAGGAAAAGTGAAAGGAAGTGACTTAACTGAAGGCAGGAAGTGAATATGAGGCAGAACTGGGGATGGAAGCCAGGAATCCCAATTCTTGCTCATCGTTCAGCTCCTCTGCAGCTGCTGTGTTGGGTCTCAGCCTCCTGTTTGAACCCAGGTGTAAGCAGGCTGTTCCAGAAGCTGGCAAAATAGTTTTTCTTGTGAAGCATCCTCAGCACTTGCTACGTTCATGAATTTTCCAGTCCCTGAGAGTCTGAGATCTCAAAGATGTTCCCGGCAGTAGTTCAGAAAGCTGCGCTTGGTGTGGTTGGAGCTGCAGGCTGGTTGGTGCCTGGTGCCCAGTTCTGCAGGGAGAGCTGTGCTCCATGAAGGGGCCGCTGTGGCTCTGGTAGAATGGACAGGGAGATGGCTGTTGTGACTCAGGAATCAGGGTGCTCTGGTGAAATGAGCAGCAGAGGAGGAGAACTGCAGGCGGTGAGTTCACCCTGCTGCTGCCCCTGCTCTGTGCATGGGAACGCAGGGCCCTGGCTCATCAGGTGTGTATTAGTTGCCCAGTTCTGCAGAAAGGAACTCTATCTGAATCACAGAATCCTTGGAGTTGGAAGGGAGCTGGAAGGCCGCCTGGTGCCGCTCCCTGCAGCGCACAGGGACACCCAAGGCTCAGCAGTGCTCACAGCCCCGTCCAGCCTGACCTTGGCTGTCTGCAGGGACGGGGCACCACCGCCTCTCTGGGCAACCTGTGCCTAATTTCAGTCTTCCTAACAGAAAATATGCTTTTCCTATTTTCTTTAGGAAAGAAGTTGGGTAGCTGTGCATCAGTGTTCGCACACACCTTCAGCAGTGTCTGTGTCACAGCAGGGAAGGGATGGCTGCTTTGTGTTGTGTGCGGGCAGTGCTGGGCTTTGGGCTTCCTCGAAGAGGCACGGTGAGGCTGCAGGTAGAGGAGGGTGCTGGCTCACAAAGCCCATTTGCAGGGGTCCTGAGTAGCTGTGCTGTAGGTTCCCACAGCCCTGGCAGCTCATGGGCACAGGGCAGTGAGGAGCTGGCTGGGAGGCTCCGAAGGGCATTGACTAACAACAAGGGATGAGTCTCTGGGCAACTGTTCTCCACAGCAAGCTGGCCGGGGCTGTGGAAACCCCTCCAGCACTGGAGCTTTCACCACTTCCTCAGTAGGATGTGTTCCAGCACTGGGTTGCAATGGGAGATTGGGCCAGACGGGGCCTGAACGATGCTGCTCCGGCCACAGCCGGGCCTCGAGCACAGCAGTCGGGCTGGGCTGAAAGCTGCTTGTGTCCTGTGTCTGTGCAGCCTCGATTGAACTTTTCCCTGGCAAGGAGCAAAAGGAACTGGGGAGACCTAGGGCTGGTCCAGGCAAGTTTCCTCTGCTCTCCCCGCCTCCAGATGCAAGTGGGGGAACGGCAGCAGCTCCAGACTGCAGTCCAGGAGCTGAGCAGTTTGGGGGCTCCGGTCCCGACTGCTTTTAGAGCAAACAATTTTCGCCTCTGATGTTCTCTGCCTCTTGGGCTGCGATGTGGGGAGAAGGCGGAGGGGGGGAAAGTGAAACTGTGGTTCAGAACAAGCCCTTTGGATGGCAAGAAAATTGCTGAGTAGCTGGTTTCCAGGTTGCCGAGGTCCTAGCCAGGGCCTGGTGCGGCTGCCAGAAGCAACAGGCTTGGAATTTCCTCTGCCTGGTGCC